GTTGAAAGCCACTGGTTATTTTGTAGAAAAGTGAGGACAGACATTTCATGTCACAAAGTGACGATGACAGACAAGATCAGCGATGATCAACCGAGTAAATAAGATATGTTAGGAATGCTAACAGGTACTGCAGCGCAACTCTTTAATGGCCACCGACGCGCAGCCATGCCATCATTTTGTTGGAGCGACTGGAGTTCGGGGCAGCCATATCATATAGGTGGATTTCCTTAAATTTGATTGGCTGAAAGTTTAACACAGAAGACGTAGCACAAATTTTCGGTTTTGACGATTCTAATAAAAGCAATTTCGACTCAGAACTCTACTAGTGTGATGCAGTGAGGCAAATTGCAATGTGAAACTCAACTTCGTCATACAACGCAATGAACAGAAACATGCTCATTCCCACGATAAGCACGATGATAAATCTGACAATTTTTTAACCTTTTAATCAGATTGCCTTTTGGTACATAGTTAGGGGTAAGTAAGTGGGTAAAGCACCGGTCTCGTTGTGTAAAGATCGCAGGTTCAGAACTCGAATTGCATTACTCATTTACTCTATTAGAATTGTATAATAAGTGCTGATATTTTAGAAATGAATGAAAGTTTACAAGTAATGCTCTTTGCATCTCCGTAAATATAGTAGCAAATAAATAATTAATAAACTGAGCCATAGAAATCCCGCGTGGGGGGAGGTCAAGTGAAGAAGCCACCGAATGAACGTTCTTATTTGTATTTGCATATGTTATGGTCCACCAATTGATTTCATCTGCTTCAGAACCGCTTATGTCTGTTAGAACTTTTGCTCCACTGGAAAGCATTATGCAAGTCAATCTTATCACAGTTATTCGTTTATGAAAGTTAATGACCAGCGAAGCATACGTTGGTACCAGTTAATTATTTTCCTTAAACTAATATTTTTTGTTGTGCTAAATTACATCGTGGTTTACTTTACTTTCAGTGTGGCTACGGAGAATCCTCTCTTCGGATGGTCGAAGCGTGACGGAAAAAATTCCTCACATTTTCCTGTCGAACTCATATGGTTTCTGGCTCTAAATTATTTGCCACCGGCTTGTAACGAAAGTGACTTTCTCCTAAACGCCACTGCAGTACAAGGAATGAGAAGTTTCGAAAATCCTGGATTACAAGAACGTGATTACTGAATGCAAACAAATTTTTTAACTTTAAACTTTTTCACGATCAGTCAACGACTAGTCATTTGATCCAGTTTGTATATTTGAACATCTAAAGCATAATTTCCATTTCGCAACTTTAGCTCCAAGATCTACTGGTTCATCCTTCATCAGTCAGATGATTCATAGCTATTCAAACCCAGACCTAAATACATTTTTCAGAAGAAGAACATTTAAAGATGCTGTTGTCCAAATGTTTGTTAGAGTTGCAAAGTTATTTTTGCGAAAGAAGCTTTGATATACAATGATGATAGCTCAACTTCCCTGGTTCAAATTTCGTAATCGAGTAATAGTGGAACATTATAGCGACTGTAAAGCATGACTGAGCTGACCCCGCAATGCCATGGGTTACAATAGATCCAAAGGAATATTCAGACTGCGAAAGTAGGCCGAAAATATGCTTTCATCGCATTGCCAGAGTTTAAATAAACATTTATAGGTTTGCATGAGGTAATTACCATTTCTTCAAGAAAGGTGCGAAGCGGACTATTTCTTTTTTGCATTGAAGAAAGATTAAAAGACGCAACTATTATCGTACAGATGGTAAACCGGACCACAATTTACCGTGAGGTTTTAAAAATCTGAGAATCTTTGACTGATCTACCTGCAGTGTAACTTCTAAAGAATTTCTTGTCTCACTTTTAATGATAGTAAACGGCTCTACCCCATTACTCTACATTGCTATAGCTGTGTGAATCAAAAATAAATGTTAATTCAAAACTTCTCAATCTGCTTTAAGGTAACCTACATCACGAGGCACATTGCAGATAATAACGGCGACTGACTCACTGGATTAGTAGAAAGTGAATATGGCATCGAAACGATAGCCAATCACCGCCACTCGTAGCAGAATAGCCCCTTCATTTTAACGATGGATTCTTCCATTCAGCAATTTCCGTTAGAATAAACGGAAAAGCTATGTGGTCATTTAATGTTAGTATTCCAGTTTCTCTCGAAAATTACATGCGGTGGCATTGGCAATCTGTTAACAAAAGGACAAGTTTTACGTTTAAATGCACATTTAAAATCATCAAGCTAGGGACATATGATAGTTCATGACGCAAACAAAGTAGAAAC